GGGGCAGGGACGGGCTCCGGGCAGCCGCGGAGGGCAGGGCATGCGGGGCAGGGACGGGCTCCGGGCAGCCGCGGAGGGCAGGGCATGCGGGGCAGAGCGCGTCCGTCCCGCCGCCGCCCTGCCTCCGCCTGGGGTCCCGCTGTGTCCTGCTCCCTTCCGACCTCGGGGTGCTGGCACGGAGCCTGGTCCGTGCTAGTCGTTGAGGAAGGATACCTAGTGGGAAAATCAAAGGGAAAAGTGCATCCTGAGAGAAATGTCTCTGAGGAACGCTCGCTTTTTTGAAACCGCAGCGGGTGGCTGTGTCAAGCTCTCTTCAGAAGTAATAGGGAGGCTCTAGCGTGGTCGGTCTCAAATGTTTTGCGCATCTATGAAGCACTCTATCAAGTGGCTTTTCCCGTTATCTTCCTCCATCTCTCACACATTCAGATTCTATCTCTTCCCTTTTTTTCCTGCTACCTGTGCCCGATGCAACACTCATACCCATGGCCAGGGTTATATCCCTGCCGTGCCCCATGTCAGGCATTCCCTGCCCATCCGCGGTTAAGCATCCCTGCCGTCACCGGTGCGCAGCTCCTTCCCTTGCTGTAGGGAAAGGTTCTACAGATGAAAGACAAAGGGCGTCAACCGCACGAGGACGGCGGTGCGGTCGCTCCCCTCCCCTGGCCCCGCACCGGGGTACAGAGCACCTGCGGAAACTTTTTTTTAAAAACAATAATTATAATGCCAATAAAATCCCGGGATAGTTCCCTTTCGGGAAAAGCCGCGCCGGGCGCGCCCCGCGGCCGTGGGTGCGGGGTTCGCTGCGCGCCCCGCGGGGCTCCGCGTGCGTCAGGCGCGAGTGGCGTCAGCGGGCGCGGAGCGGCGGGGAGGGGGCAGCGGGAGGAGAGGGGGGAGAGGGAGGGAGGGAGCTTCGTCAGGAGGCGATGGCGGTGCCGCCGTGACATCACCCCGCGGCTTATATAGTTGGGGAAGGGTCTGGGTCCCCCGTCTGGTGCCTGCAGCCGCCCGTCAGCACGCGTGCGGAGGGCGAGGAGCGGCGGGGCTCTGTCTGTCTCTGTCTCTCTGTCTCGTCTCTCTCTCCTCTCTCCCTAGGATTTATGGACTTTACTTTCTAGAGGGCGGCGCGGCAAGGATGAGAGTCCAGCTGGTGTGCGTGGTGCTGCTGGCCCTGGCCTCCTGCAGCCTCTGCTCAGGTAAGTGCCCGCCGCCTCCGCCGGGCGCGCCCCGCACCGCCCGGCCCCGGAGCCCCGCTGGCCGCTCGCACGGAGCCGCTGCCGCGCCGGCGGACGGACCTAAAGCATTAGCACGGACCTAAAGCAAGGAAGTGAAGTCGCTTCGGGCTCCGCGGCTGTCCCCATTAGGCGCCCGGGAGCCGCCTCTGATAACGGGCAGCATCATGGTTTTTTTTATATCACTCCTCTAACTTTCTCTCTTTGCATAACCAACCCATGCCTCCTCACAGCATCCATACCACGGCAATTAGTGCAGACTAGTCGTTGGAAATCCAAATCAGTGTAGACCATCTGCTGTGGTTTATTGAATCCCATGTATTTCCAAATTAAGATACAAATAGTAATTTCTGCAACTCACGAATAGCTGCTGTAATCCAAATCAATGAATATGTATGCCCTTCAGTTGCTTTTTAGAAAGAGAAGCATAGTTTTATTATCTGGAGAAAAAGTTGCTAACAACAAATCTGAAATTATGACAAAAAAACCTACAAAAAACCAAAAAAACGCTGAAGCTCCAGCAGATCACACAGCAAGAAGATTCATGTAAATTCATTTCTTCTCCAAGAGCAACTGCTTTAAAAAGCTCAAAAGGAGGACAATATATTAAAATGCACTTCTTGCTTCTTTGAAAAATGACATATGTTAAGCATCTGCCATTTATGTCTAAGGTTTATGACCAAATAGGTATGAAGATAGTTAAATAGGTGTATGCACATATATATAGTAGAAGTAGAATAGCCTGCAAAATCCAGTCTTAAGTAACTTGAAAATTAATTTTTAACTCCACTAAATTACTGGGTAAATTTACTGGCAATTTCATTTTTCAACTTTAGTGTTCAGAAGGACTCAGAATTCTTAATTCTCACTTTAGATAGAAGCTTACAATTTATATTCCCCTGCAGAAGAAAGATGCAAACCACATAATACCTGTATTTTATTACAGTTTAAATATAATTGTTCTGCATATTATAGAGAACATATGATCTCAGTGACAAAACTTAGCATTTTTTTTCTCCCCATATATTTCTAAGATTTTTAAACATATTCCTCACTAGTATTTTCAGTGAAGCAGTTTCAAATTCAACTCATTATAGAGCTTCAATGAAGAACCACTAAATTAAAAAACAATAAGTGGGAATTAAAATAGGTTCATAAAAAAACCCCAGAAGTCAAATTGTGTGGGGAACTAATACAATGGTTTATTTGCCTGAAAATTTGAAATTATTTGTAAATGAGAAACAACACAGAGAAGCTTATGTGAAGGGGCACAAATAATCTGTAACTAATACAGACACTTATACCATAAGAAAATTTAAATTTTCTTTGAAAATGTTTGCCCTCAGGCATAAATATGTACCTGTACAATGTAATTATTCCTGTAAAATGTGAATATATGAGTAGAAACTATTTTTTTTTGTCAGTGGAATCTAGAATACATCAAACTGTGTGAATTTCTCTCTGATTTTAACAATAATATATAACCATGCTTTTTATACATTGTTCTCTGAGAGTCTGTTCTTTTTATGCTTTTGCTCCTCATCCATCTCTTTTGACTCCTGAATTACCTGAACATGCTTCCTTCTCTCCCTCCAAGCCTTTCTTTATTTTTCACTCAAGGCATCTTGACTCCTAAACAATGTCCTCTAGATTTCTTTTTTCCAATCCAAATGCTTCTTAATACCTTCCTTCCCATCTTTCAAGCCTGCAGCTATCTTCCAGCCTTGATGTGTAGAAGCTACCTTCCATTCTTTATAGAAACAAAAACCAGATGCTAAACAGGCATAAGTCCTTTAATTGTTCTCAGCTGGTGTGGTCCAGGACCCCACAAATCATGATGCTGTCGTCTCCTGCTCACAGGAGATGCTATCATTGATAGAAATTCAGCTGAAGTGATCTTGTGCTGCCACCAGAACTTTGGCTAATGGTAAAGCTGGCAAGACTGACTGCCATTCCTGCTGAAAGGGTTGAAAGACATTAGGTGGAGATCAGTTGCTAGAGACTTGCTGCCCAGTCTACAACTAGTCCTATTTAATATGAAGATTTTGAACATTGAATAAGACTGGTTTTAGACCAGCATTACAGCAAGTCACTTAAATGCAATTTCTTCAATGCTAAAAATAATGAATGAATCTATTGTGTTGGTAATGCAAAGGTGAACAGGAGAATCTCTACAGAGAAAGGGGATATGTGTGACACATGGAAGTTTTTGATGACCTAAATAATAGGAATAAGAAGCAGTGCAGCAATACAAAATGCAGTGGCTTGGGAAATAATAGAAATTCCTGTTAAAAGCTCCTTTTTAACCAAAGCAAAACTGTTGAAATCTGAGGAATAAAAGACATTATCTTGTTATCTAGCCTGTTTTTTTGGGGTTTTTCAGCCACAAAAGACAAACAAAACTAAAAGACATGTCAGACAGCTGCCCTCTGTAGCTAATGGTAAGCATTAAGGTGATTAAGTGTTGAGGCTGCTGAACCAAACTGTGCTATACTGTTCTCTCTTGAGAACACTTCAGGGACAGGAGAGGTCTGCTCTGACGAGTTGGGAATACAAGGATTTTGCAAGGAAGGAGAATTGGTGAGAGTGCAATAAATCTGGGCATAGCCTTTCAATGAAGCATTTATGGGATTTCCAGGACAATGTTTTTTGACCAAAAGGAAACAGTGATCTTGCACTTGTTTACTTGTAAGGACACACGAAAACACTAAGCTGGGAAGAGCAATGATTCCTCTCAAATACATGATGGGTAAATATTGCAAATAGAAAGGTATTATTTACAGTGTAAGAATTTATTTGCAAACCTTGGATACATTTGTAATTAAAAATAAATTAGACTTGAAATCAGAAGCAAGTGAATACGTACTGATATTTAGAAGCATTTCCTAAAGAAGAATCAAAGTAACAGTAGTTGTGAGATTTATTGAGATTTACCTTGACTGATTTTTAAGGGCATTGTAATGAGTGGCTTCTGTGCTGATAGAAACTTATAACACATTAGCACATGCTCGTGGTCCATTACAGTTCTCATGTTCTGTGAAAGGTAGTGACACGACATGGTGAGGATCTGAAATTAAGGCATGGGCAGAATCTATCCACCGATTCAGTAGTAGGGTCTTCTATGCCAACAGTATTGATTAATGAAAGTGAGATATTACCTGTATGAATATGGAATGTATTTTGATTTAGTATGGTTTGAAATATTAGTGCATTGTTTGGTTTTGGAGTGTTGGTATTCCAGGAAAGGTAAAAGCTATGTGGAACTGTATTTCACCTAAAAGTTTAACTGATTCCTTACATTTTTTTCTCTGTGAGCTGTGATTGCTGCTACCAAGGCACAGGATCTTCATTGTGATTCTCATCTTCATCTTATAATGCTGTGTGGAGAAATGTGGCTGTGCATTTTCCTTCTGCAGCAATTTTTACTCTATTTACCAAATCACAAGTCTTGCAAGTCTACTGAGCTATCAAAGGTCGATCAAATCAGTAAAGAAAACCCTGGACTTCCAGTCAGAATACTTTCTTTTTGTATATACATTGTTAAGAGCTTGTGTCATAAACTGGTCAAGCTTAGTTCCCTCATATCAGTTAAAATAGCCTTAATTTAATTAAGAATAATAAAAAATATTGATTATTAATCAAGTAACCATAACTGCAATTTACATAAATAATTACTACTTAAATAAATATTATTTGAAAATAAATATTCAAATTTTTCTTCCAAAGTAAGCAGAGGTGACAAATATTTAATATGAAAATAAAGAATATCACAGCAGTTTTTTTATACGGAAGGAATTGCAGTTTAATGAGCCTTTCTGCTATGAAGCTGAGATAAATGAACAGTTCCATCCAGTTCAATAAGCTTGAGTATTTGTTTTTGTATAATGTTGCTGTTAGCTGAAGACTCCTGACAGTCCCTCTAGGTCACTGGTGTTTGTGTTAAACACAAACATTTAAATATCATTTAAATATCTAAGTTCTCTATACTGAATTGAAATGTCCATGATTTATGATCAAATAATAAACATGTGTTTCTGGTTTATTCCCAGATTCAGAAGAGGAAATGAAAGCATTAGAAGCAGATTTATTGACCAATATGTACACATCAAAGGTAATTATTTTTCTTCCTTTAACTGACAGGGAGGGAGCAAATGAATTCTCATTACAAACCCAAAAGTCTTTGCACAAAGTAATAACCTATGGTCTAGACAGAAAAGTTCAGTGTTAGGTTTTACTTTGGTGCAAGATTTTCTCCAGTTCAAAGGAAATGTAAAGGTGTCGATGTGACACACTAAACATGTTCCTCAGCTGTAACACTGGTACTTTCATTAAACTGTCAAAACTGTGTTATGTACAGAGATGTAAATTTATGTGAGGAAATGTGTTTCCAATAAGATTATGCCCGATGAAAGCTAAATTAACCTTGAGTCAAATCTGTAAGTGCTATTTTTATGCAGAACCCTTCCTATATGCATATAAAATTAAGACAGTCATAAAGCAAAACCAGTTAATACATATTGCAATTTTGGTTTAGGATTTTGATCATATTGCCAGTACAGAAACATGGGGACATGACTGTGAAAATACTAACTTTGTAAATGGCATTTCCTTGACAGGTTTCCAGACTGTGAGTAATGTTTATGTTATTAATATGAATATATAAAAATTCAGTGAAAACCTCATACTGACAAGCAGAAAGTGTTGCACGTATGTATTGCACAGGCTGATAGACACTTTCTCAACACAATTATCTTCCATAAATATTCTAAGAAATATATGTGTGTGATATATCTTCACAAACACATGAAGAACAAACTCTGAAACAAGTGCTATGAGTTTAAGGGTGAATATTTTAATTTGTTATTCCAATAAAGTTTAAGTGGTACTTAAATGTAATGGAAAATAAAATGAGAAGAAAAATTTCTTCCCCAAAAAAGAAATTTTAATAAGCCAATGATTAGTTGAAGGTTAAAGACAAAACCTGCTAGGATTACTTCTGCATATATTGTATTTAAGTATATGTGGCCTTTTCCACAGGATCATTGGATAGACTAGAAGTATGAGGCCAGAAAATGCATTTTCTTTAATTGGTCTGGCAGTTCTTAGGTATCAATATTCTTTACTGGCATGATAGTTAACCTTAGATTATAAATAAACCTATTGGTCACTCACTTTTGAAAGGTACAGAAAGATTTAATAACTTCTCCTTTTATGAGGCATATTTAAATGTAGGGGGCTAACAAAAACAGGGTTTTTTGCTGCATGGTAAAGCACAGCATGCCCTGGAATAAAACCCTGCAGCTATTGGTGTTTCTGCTACTGATTTTAGTGGATCTGTGAACATCCATCTTTTCCTCCCTTTCACCACAGAACACAAGCTCAGGTAACTCCAAATGCATAAATATATTGCACCAGTTAATAATGTCATGATGATTGCAATAATATTCTTACATTTTTTGATGTCATGTAGCTTGCTATTTAGCTTCCTTAGAGTATTTACCACAGTCAACTGACCCTTGAAGTTAACAGAAGCAGTAGATTCATGTTGGAGACATTCATTTAATTCTACATTTTACTGCCTTAAATCAGCATCTAAAGTTCATTAGATGAATTTATGTTGTCTCTTGACATCAAAGCAAGACATGGTGGAAACACTAAAAACCGTGTGTCAAATCTTCTACAAGAGTAATATCACTATCCCATTCATTACTGAAATGGCTTTTTTTTTTTTTTTCCCTGTTGTCCACTGCCAGATTTTAACTCTCATTACAACAAATTATGGTTCTGGTGTGATAGACAAATTTGAAGATTGTATGTGTAATACCTGTCTTGTGTTGTGCCTGAGATCTGGTTCAATTTTAGGGCGATTACTGCTAAATTACATAGACTGTATTTGGCACTGACTTGGTAACCAGCAAAGGAAATCCTAACAATTTAAACATCATAACAATTTTAAATGTGTTATGATGGGAAAAAAATTACTGTTTATGAAAGCTGAGATCTAGAAGTGCAGCAAAATGAATTATCACTTGTGGGTTTAGTATTTGATAGAACAAAAATCTACCTAAGTAGGCACTTGTGGACTATAGTATCAAGACTACAGCCAGGACTTAAGCACACCTTTTGCAACAATCAGTAGTCTGTCTATATTATGGGAGGATTTGCCTTATGCCTTTAACTTCACAGACTGCTATCCAGTATCTGCTGCCCCTTTTCAAGTTGCTCTTTAAAGTCACCTATATGTTGAATCACTCTCCATCCTTAAAGAAGTAGTTCATGCTTATTGCAACCTGTCTTCAGCACTTAATGCAGTTTGTCACCCTTCCCTGCTGTTACATCTGAACCAAGATACAGGATCAAACAAGTCCTTAAACTGCTCTGTCTTCTTCCTAAGATAAAATCCAAGAAGCCATTTGGAAGATCAGGTAAAACAACAAAATCTGACATGTCAAAATACATGGACAGTTTTCTCCTGTCTCTCTTTTGTTTGAAATAGAAAACTCTATTCATACCAAAGAGATAACTCTATTTCCAGCTTCCTAAATCCTTGCCTGAAACCAACCACTAGTTGCATGATGAAACTTTTTTGACCTCTATAATATTGAGATTATGTTATTTAGAGAGGAAAAAAAAAAAAGTAAAACAAAAGTATTTCTTGGAGAATATATTAGCCCTAGAATATACTCCACCTTTGGGATCCCACCCAACAAAAATCTGAAGTCATGGACCCACCCAGTTTTCATTGTTGTAGGATGCCTATTTATGACTTCATTTGCCCAGAGAGTTTAGCCTCCTTGTCTGAGGAGCGGCCTAGAAGTAGGAGGAATCTACATCTATCTAGGAGCTAGTGACTTCCTGACTCAGTCATTACATAAAAATTAATTTGGTTTGCAGGCATTAATATGCACCATGGAAGGACGTCTTCTTTAACAGAACTCAAAGCTATATCTGACTAAAGATATTATTTCTATGGTTACAATCTGAACAAAATTCAACTGCTATTATAGAAAAGAACCATAGAGATCCTACACTATCTTTGCAATGACTTTGCTTTTTATCTGCTTTTGCTAGAGAAAGGCAAGGATTTTGAAAGCAGATATCATTTTTCCTAATGAAAAATAGCATTTGGGATGTCTGGATGGACTGTAACAAAAGAAGTATCTTAGACATACTATCAGGGGTATCATTCAACCAGATATGGAAATAAAATATCATATAAATTATAACTTGTGAATCTCTTTTGTCTTGCATAGAACAAGCCTGTTGTCAAAGAAGGAAATAAGCTTATTTCAGTTTCTTAGATGTTCTTAAATTCTCTTTCAAGATCCATGAAGTGTGAAAAATTATATATCCGATTCTTATTTTACAAGCATTTTCAACAGTGGAAATACATACATCATATTCACTTCAGTATTCTTATACATTTTAAATTCTAGTTTGTACTTCAATCTCCTTTCTTTCTTCAGATTATTCCCAGATATTTTCCAAGTTACTCTTAAAAAAATTAGTTTTACCTTGGCAGATAAAGGTTCCTTGTTTCATTGTGTAAGTGTTTTCTAAAATGTGTTGAGATACTGTACTCGATATTGCTTATATCTGTGTGGAAAATATATATAAAAGTATAAAATATAAAATATATCCCATATTATAAATTAACCTGAAAATTTGGATTATCATCATCTTAAACTTTTTTTTTTTTTTGCATATACCTTTAAGGATAACTGCTTCAGATATTTTCCATAACCCAAAAAGCAAATGGTCTGATTTTCATACTTACTGTAATAGTGGAGCAGAAAAATAACATGACTTCTCTGTTCAGTGACTGGACATGACCTGGAAAACTCCATGTTCAATTAAAATAACCCAAAATTCACTCTGACTGAATTGCTAATGGTAGCAGTAAGTCAGAAGCAGGTGTACCTAAATGAAAATACTTTGAGGAGATGTATGCATGGCATTAATAGGAATGAGACTCCCTTAACAAATGAAATATTAGTTAGAAGTTTGCAGACAGCACTGCAAATTTGTTTTCTTCTAACCTCATAAGTAAGAGCTAAGACAATTTTCAGCCAAGGAAATCTCCTATTTAAATATCTTACAAATACACAAGAAAGATCCTTTATATATATAAGTGCAGCAGACTGACACGAAGTAGTAACTTCAGATCAAAAAGATTCTATAAATTATGCAAGAAGGCATGAAAAATTACCCTATCCTTTACTCTTCTTTTTCTATCCACTGGAATATTTTTGCTTCTTAACTCAGAAGCATCACTTGCTCATGTAGCACTGCCTCTAGATTCCATGCTCCATTGCAATTTAGCTGTTGAAGTGCTAGCTCACATTTCTTTTGCATACCCAGGAGAGAACAGTGAACTGGAAAAACCTTCTCATTTGTCATGGAAAGCCCCATATTTTTATATTGCAAAAATAGGTTAAAACAGACCAAAGAATATTTTTAAATTGCATAGGGCTCTTGGTCTTTTTCCTAGCTTGACTTCTGTTAATATAATTAAATATTCTGCAAAGAGAATAATTTTATCTTGAAACTGTCACATCTTTTTAAATAATTTGATAAACTAACTAGGCTACTTCAGTGAGAAAACCGATGAGCTCAAAGTAAAGAGTGCAGAACCAATTACAGGCTTCCAAATAAGATTTCAGGCTTGTTTTCTTAGCCTCAAAACAAAATATTTTTTTTAGATATCATCAGGAATCTGAGAATGTACAGCAGTTTTATTAAAAGACAAAATCATTCTTATTTTCAGAGGCACATGTATCAGATGTATATTGAAGTAATGATCATGGCCAAAAGAAAACTTTCTGTAACTAATGCTAAGAGTGATGCCAACTTTTCTTGTTTCTTCCTCATTTCTCTGAATTTTCTTTCTTTTCCCCCCAAAAATAGTCAAGTGTGATGAATATGCATAAATCTTGCAGGCAAGGCCCCTTTGTTAGTAAGGTGCTCTAAAGAAACAAGTTATATGATTACCTGGTGTTCAGCCAAATAAACACTACACCACATTCTTAATTAGTGCTGCCAAGTATGTGTGAAAGGCAATGTCTGTGTTAGTGTTATACCTGTATTTAACTTGTACATACAGGAAAAGAAGCAACTACATTTCTCTTCATAGGTAATGTTGAACCCTAATGTGCACAGCAAGGAACTCCTTGCCAGGAATAAATATTTGGCTTTTGATTGGAGATTGCTATATCACCAATTCTAGTTGAAGGAAACTAAATTCTATACTCAGCACTGAAAAGAATACAGTGCAGAAGAAGTAATTAGTAGTGTGAGAATGAAGAAAATGGCAAAATCATGAAAAGCAGTAAATGAGATAAGAATTAAGTTTTAAGCTTACTTTTTTGCTATTGATAATCAAAAGCCAAATAGCAAACCGCTATTTGCTGCAATTGCTTGGAAAAAACAATACAAGTAGAAAAGTAAAAATCATGCGTATCAGCATTTTTTGAAAATGGTTTAAGAGCTCATACATAATGCAAGATACTGGAACAAGCAAGATACAATTGGCCTTGGTTTTTCAGTCCAGTTACCAAATCAGGAGTACTTTATTTTTCACAGCTATATTTTATCTTTGCTCCATCTTCCTAAGCCCACAGACCTTCAATTAACATCTCCCAGGCTCTTCACTTTCCAGCATCCAAATCTCCTGGGGTTTACAGGTTCTGTAACTTCAGACCCAGACTCGTCAGACTGTTTGTTCTGAAGCAGGGACTCCATTCCTTTACTCAGGGAATTTTGGGATGACTGGTATTTGTGCTGAACTAGGGAGGAGTGTCTAGGTAACCACAGGCATCCAGCTTGGATTCCTGAGCTGGGAATTTATCCAGTGGGTTTGGTTAATTATCCTTATTTACACCTGTGAATTTATATTATATTAATTTCCATCTATGTTTTTGTTTGCACCTGTGCAGAATGACTATGAAATGCTGCCATTCTGGTTTGGTAGCAGTTTAGCTTTTTCATCATTTATATCTACCTGGGGGCCAAGGCTGCAAGGAAGCAGACTTGGCGTGTGTAATAAATAAGTTGTCCTAAGTTCAGCACTCTAATTATTGTCTAAAAGTTGACCAGATGAAAAGCACTTCAGAAATATAAACTTGTTTCTAACAAAACATTTGAATGTAGCACATGAATACAAAGGACCCAAAATTGTGGGTGTTTTTATTTTCAGATTAACAGAGCAAAACTTCCTTACTGGAAAATGACCCTGCTAAATGTCTGCAATCTTGTCAACAACATAAACAACCAAATGGGGGAAACAGTAGAGGTAGATGAGGAGGATCTGGTTCCAGGACGACAGTTCCCTGCAGCTCTGGATGGCTTCAGCTTAGAAGCAATGCTGACAGTATATCAACTCCAAAAAGTTTGCCACAGCAGAGCCTTTCAGCATTGGGAGGTAACAAAAACGATCACAAATGCATGTTTCTACTGCTGTTAAACTCTCAGGCTTTGTTTGTAGTGATGTTGTAAAAATCCATATCCATGTCATCTTCATCACATTGTCTTAGCTTTCCTCCCTTTTTTTATATTCTTTAATACTTCTAATATGCCTCTTTCCGCATGAGTAGTGAATTAGTGCAGTTTCTGATGAGTGTATGTTTCTTACAAAAACCCATGGATAAATGAGAACTTTTCTTAACTACATACTTTTTCCACTCTTTGTAGCCATTCCAGGTAACCAAACAAACATGTGTGCCAGAAAACATCATTAATATCTGCTTAACAGACATGAAGTTATTATAGATCTATAAATCTATTGAAGCATAAGTAAATGTACCCACTGTTTCTTACCTAAGGCAAATTGGATTCAAAATGCAGAGATACATGCCCATGTGTACATACCATTTTACTAGGTACTCTGGTTTTCTTATCATTGCTAGGAAACTGGCAACAAGGTAACTCCTGCTTTTTGTTTCCCTACATGTAAAGAGAGCCCTGAAAGTTGACATTGTGATTGTATGAAGATTGCTGCTCTTAAATAGTAATTTTTCATAGTCCATTTGTGATATTTATTTTAGTACAATGATTACAGTGATTACACAGAAGCACACTGGGCACAATCCACTTGCATTTTTAGATATTAAGCTAAAAGCTGCTTTGTATAGTAATAAAAGATAACTCAGTGTCACTACCCACTTTCCAGTAAAGCAAATTTCTTAATCTATCTCAGCTTCATGTACAGTCTAGCTTAATCCAGATATTTTTTGGTTGGTTGGTTGTTTTTAGTTTGTTTTGTTGTAATTTGCTGAGTCATAACTCTTTATATTCCCAATCTCCATATTAGGTGGGGTGGTCTATACAAAGAACTGCAACCTCTTTGAGAACCAGAGTTTTCTGAAGACTCTCTCCATCAGTTCATTTCTTGCTGGAAAGGAGCTACCCTAGAACCAAATTACCCATATGTCTTAATCACAGTTCCTTGCTTTGCAGGAAGTTGTAGATTAAAATGTTTCTCAAAAGATGAAACCAGCGAGCAGGTGTGATAACTGAGTGATAAATGTGTGATAACAGAGTGATAGTCATTAGAAAACCTTCAGTCTATTTGAGTTTTGGTCTAAGGAGGATATACCAGCTTTCCTCTCTAGTCAAAACCAATTATCTAATTTGTTGAATTGGAATTTAAATATCACTTCTGTAGGGCTCAGATCATCTTTAGCCTGATTTTAGTTTTGTACCTTGAGTTTTGTATTTTTTTAAATTAATGCTGCAGCTAATATAGTAAAGATTGTTATTGATGACAGTAAAATATTTTAATATTTTATTAAAATTTTGAGGAGA